TTCTCCTCAGTAACTGAAACCAACAGCACACAAAAGAACACTTTGACCAAAGCAATGCATAGTTTCAGCATTACACTTTGGCTTATATTCTACTGCTCCACTTGTACAATTCATCATTCTGTTTCCTTCATTGATTGCTGCTACACAAGTGGACAACTTAAGTGCCAAGTCTATTACCATCCCTAAATCTTTTTAAGCTTCACCCTTGGCTAGTTCAGCAAACACGCATGTGTATTTTCTTCCACTATGCAATACCATATTGTATACTGTGAATTAAACAAGTTATGGTCACCAACTGTGTACACTTTAGGTCTGATTTTACTGACCACCAGTTTCTTAATCAGTCTCTTACATAGGAGAAAAAAAGTGTCAGAGCACTACACAAAAGCATGATCACCAAACAGAAGTTGTTTAATCAAGAATGGATGCTAAAGCAAAACAACCATCAGGAGATGCAACCTTCAGCTTGTTGGGCTCTTAAAAGTGAGAATTATGAATTGTACAGGTGAAACAGCAAACTACTATTCAATATCATACTGAAGGGAGGTGAAGACACAGAACGGCTAGATGATTCAAAGCAGGTTAACCAAATACGGGACAAATTTTATGGGTACTGCATACATAAACATTCAAATTAGGAAAACAAGCATGTCACTCAGTCCCACAAATAGATTATCACACATTGCCTCCTCGCCAAGATCCCAATTGAGAAAGGGTCACCAGACCCGAAACATTACCTCTGGTTTCTCTTCATGGATGCTGCCAGACCTGCTGACCTTTTCCAGCAATTTCTATTTTTGTTTCCAAAATTCCGTGCAATTCATTTGAAAATCAGCTTGCCTTGATACTCAATGAATGTGCTTCACTCTCAACATGCCAAAATATTTAAAGGATATCGAAAATCCTTTCTTTAAAAACTCAAAAGTACATTTATTGAAATTATATAATGGAGGTAAATCAACTGAAGGCAGTCTTAAAACTAGAATGTATCAGCCATCTTTTTGCCTCACTGCTGTTTAGTTCAGTCCTCTGCCAGTGCCAATGTCAGTAACTCAGAACAGTTAGTTGACCTGGTTTAATAATAACATTAAGACAATTCCATATTAAAAACAAGTTTCTCTTTCTCTCCATTTTTCTGAAGATCAAAACGAAGGATATCAGAGTCAGAACACAGGAGCAGTACTGAGGCCCACGTTCATATTATACTGATGATGTTATTATAGTACATGATCAGAAAAGGAAATACATTCTACTCACCCAACCATATTCAATGTAGAATTGTCATTCAAAATATAGTTAATTTATGCTTGCAGGTTTATTTGGCACATTCCTGTGGCAGATAACTATGCTACCCATTGAATGTACGCAACTCATGAAATTTCCTTCAAGCTTACACAATAAACACTCAGCAAATCAATTTCACAGGCTTCCAATCTGCATTACTGACTTCTCTACGCTCTTCACAATCTTAGCTGCTTAGAAGTACCTATTGCAATTGTTTCCAACAGCCCTAATGATCTTTACAATTGGATCTAATCTAATTTTAAGACTTTTCAATTCTAATTCTTAGCCAAAATTGAACAACTTTTGAAACCCAAGATTAAAAATTCACTGAGATAGTAGGAACTGCCGATGCTGGAGAAGCTGAGATAACACGGTATAGAGCTGGATGAACACAGCAGGCCAAGCAGCATCAGAGGAGCAGGAAAGCTGACGTTTCGGGTCGAGACCCGTCTTCAGAAAAATATATCTTATATTAAAAATTCACTCTTTGGTCTGAACATTTCCTGGAAAAAGGAAAGCTGCACTGCTGAGATCATGCCAAGTGTGAACTCCAGAAGCAGCAGCATCACACATTTGATAATTAGAATATCCTTGAGTGTCAAAGCGGGTACTGAAAGTTAACATTCCTGAAATGGATCCACTTTCAAATAAATTTCCTTGAATAACTGATCAATAATAGATGGACAAAAACACATAAGCCAGGAACAGATCAAACACTTTGTTGCAAGCCTTGAGAGCAAAGTTCAATGAGCTCGTCACCTCAACCGCAGAATGCTTTAATGGATTATATTTTAACATTGTGCTGGACAAAATTCTGTTCAAAAAAATGAGTGATTTCTTGAATCAAATTAGCTAAAATGTGCTTAAATAAATCAAAAACTGTTTATTTATCAGGCAATATTTATAACCACTTTGTTTCAGTGGCTTTTACTAGATACTTTCAATAAAGTAAAGAAACATTTACAATGAAGGTACCAAAAATGAAAAACTACAGCCATTTGGAAAAATTGAGCACGTTGGGAGATTTTGTTTAGAAACAACTTCACTGCATATGGTGCACAAAAATTCTCTTTACCCAGTTTCAAAAATAACACATTTCAAATCTGAAAATTGTTAAACACGCTTTTTACAATTATAAGAGAACTTTAGATGTTATTTTCACAATGCTAGTATTCTCTCTGCAAAAGTAATGCCGCATTCTACCAAAGGCTTAAATATTTTTCTCAAACTTTGTCTTAATCCTTCATTGTTAACACTCAATGTATTTTTAAAGACAAATAGTTATTCAATATTGTAGATTTATGTACCTTTCAACTTGAGCACTTCCTTTAATAGCAGTATTTTTATAACATTTACAAAATTTGAAAACGTTAATTTTATTAGTCTCCCAAATTTATTAATGTAAAAAGGCACAATTTCCATTTTCCTGCATCAGCTCCATTTATAAATGTCAGAACTTATAAATATGCCTTTATTTTCTTTTAGTAAAGCACCCCGTTAACAAATCTTCTCATTAATATGTAAATATAAAGTCAATCGGTCTTTGCTTTGACAGCACTATGAATTCAAAGTACTGCACTGTGTAATCGCCTTTACTTAGGCTCGAATATTCATCATAAAAGTTGTCATTTAAGAAAAATTACAAAAAATACCATAATTGATATGACCGCTGTCTAGTTAATAGACGTTTAATTGTCACCTAGAACATGGTAGTAGATTTACAGCTTGATGCTGAGAAGTCAAATCTATAAAGCAATGTTTACGCAAAAACATTAGGTAATTTTTTTTTTAAGGTTTGCATAATTTTAATGCAACTTTTTGCCTTGCACATTCATTTGTTTCAGTGGCTTTTACTAGATACTTTCAATAAAGTAAAGAAACATTTACAATGAAGGTACCAAAAATGAAAACCTACAGCCATTTGGAAAAATTGAGCACGTTGGGAGATTTTATTTAGAAACAAATGGAAACTAGACAGAGATTAATATGTTCGATATTGTGTACAACAAAAAGAAAAATGCAAGTTTGGAGCAAAGTTTGCCATTCAACACAGCAAGCCTGCTCCAAAAAGAAAAAGCAAAGAACTGCAGATGCTAGAAATCAGAAACAAAAACAGAAATTGCCTGTATAACTCAACAAATCTTGCAGCATCTGTGGACAGGAAGGTGAGTTAATGTTTCAGTGACCATTCTTCAGAACACTACTCAAATATTCAGCTGGTGATCATGACTGCTTTGATCCACTTTCCTACCTGCTCCAATTAAGCCTCAATTCCCTTCTAAATCAAAAAATCCATTGTGGGATATAATGTTTCTACTTAAGGAAGTACCCAAAAATACAAGACAGTTACTACTAAATTCTGTTCAAAAAAAAAAAGTGATTTCTTGAATCAAATTAGCTAAAATGTGCATTTAATTTGAATCCATTTCGACCTAGCCCATCATAGCCATTGCAACTAAAGCAATGGCTTCACGTCAAATTTCACCGTTACTTTCAATGTCCCTCAAGGATCCAGTTGGCCTCATAACTGAAGTTATTTGCTGCCCCTCGCCAAGACCATCTTTAGACATGCAGTCAACTTTCCAACATTGTTTACAAAGTTAAGCAGAGTTGTCCTACATTGGTTAGATACAAAGAATTGCAGATGCTGGAGATCGGAAATAAAACCAGAAATTTCTGGAGAAAAATCAGCAGGTCTGGCAGTATTTGTGGGAACAGCAGAGTTAACATTTTGAGTCCAGCGCAAAACAAAACTTCTGCCTTCTTCTCACAGATGCTGCCAGAACCGCTGAGTTTTGCCAACTACTTAATTGATACAAAAACCAAAATAGAGTTCTGTACTTTAAAAAATTTAAAAAGTATCATACAGGAATAAAAACATTAACTTTGTTTCTCACTACACACTTGCTGCAAGATCTGCCAAATTTCTCCAGGATTCTCTGTGTTTGCATTGTTTTGGTTAAATACATGTTGCACATAGTCCACAATCATGATTTTTTTTAAGCTATGTTCATAACCTGGTATCTTAAAAGAAGCAAAATACAGGGAACAGTGAGACAGGTATCAAATCTTTGAAGGGAAATCGGAGAATATTTTCATAAGCTAAGGATATGGGTGTTATACACAGATTTAATGGATTAGAAAAAATGCATGAAGGAAAAGGTGAAAGATGACTGTAGGGTTTGCTAAGCTAAGGAGGATGTGGAAGGGGAACATTTAACCATCCACTTGGAATTTTCTTCCGTGATTCATTTCTGCAGAATACTTTAACTGCTAATTCAGCCTTTAACCAAGAGATACATTTGGCACTTAACACATTATTAGCCATGAAGTTGGATATTTTCATTTCCTCTGAGAAGTTCCAAAATATTGGAAGCTGTTTAGTTTACAGGGGCAGTTCATTTTTTGTTATCCAATGTAATACAAGTAGCATTACGTAGAAAATAGTATTTAATAACAGCAAAAGTAAGTAATTTTATGATCGCTATAAATTATTAGAACCTAATAGCTACCTATTTGGTGATGGAAGCTCAATAAAGCCCTTTTATTAATATTCATAGCCAATTCAAAATATAATCAGGCTTTTTCTTTTCAATATGCAGACAGAGTGAGGCTTGCCTCATTTTTAGAAGCCTCTCAAAGCATTGAGACAATTAATTAACATACAAGCTTGTGAAGCAATGAAAAGAGAATTCTTTCCCCAGCACAATACTCACCTCTTTCCATGGACTTACAAACTGTGTTCGTGCATAGCGAGTGAGCATGTTGATTATAACAACTTGTCCCCACTCCTCCACATCTACCAACAGGTTACACAGCTTGCGGTAATTCTTGTGAATCAGGTCAATTCTTTCTGGGCAAACCTCTTCAAATGACATTACAACACTTCCAGCAACTAACTGTAACAAAGTAAAACAACATGAGAGAAGTGAATCTCAAATCAAATTACAGAAGTTGATCATTCTCTGAAGCAACATCATTATCATTGGTGTGAACATGTCTCAAGAGGTTTTCTCCAGAGTCTTTTGTTTAATCCACGAACAGAACAACTTAGTACACAAAGTCAAAAAGAGAAATTCATAAATTACTTTGCAAAATAAACCTCAATTATTTTTAACTACAAGAACTGCAGATGCCTTAAATCAGGGACAATAACATGGATATTTCTGGAAAAGCTCAGCAGGTCTGGCAGCATCTGTAAAGAATAAAGAAAAAAGAAATCAGTTAATGTTTCAGGTCGGGTCCAGTCCGGGTTCTGAGGACACGAAGATTGGTGGAGCAGCAGATAGTGAAGGGGACTGTCGGAGAATGCAGCGGCATACAGATAGATTGGAGAGTTGGGCAGAGAAATGGCAGATGGAGTTCAATCCAGGCAAATGCGAGGTGATGCATTTTGGAAGATCCAATTCAAGACTGAACTATACGGTAAATGGAAAAGCCCTGGGGAAAAATGATGCACAGAGAGATCTGGGTTTTCAGGTCCATTGTATCCTGAAGGTGGCAACGCAGGTCGATAGAGTGGTCAAGAAGGCATACGGCATGCTTTCGTTCATCGGACAGGGTATTGAGTACAAGAGTTGGCAGGTCATGTTACACTTGTATAGGACTTTGGTTCGACCACATTTGGAATACTGCGTACAGTTCTGGTCGCCACATTACCAAAAGGATGTGGATGCTTTGGAGAGGGTGCAGAGGAGGTTCACCAGGATGTTGCCTGGTATGGAGGGCGCTAGCTATGAAGAGGTTGAGTAGATTAGGATTACTTACATTAGAAAGACAGAGGTTGAGGGGGGACCTGATTGAGGTCTACAGAATCATGAGGGGTATAGACAGGGTGGATAGCAAAAAGCTTTTTCCCCCCAGAGTGGGGGACTCAATTACTAGGGGTCAAGATTTCAAGGTGAGAGGGGAAAAGTTTAAGGGAGATACGCACGGAAAGTTCTTTACGCAGAGGGTGGTGGGTTCTTGGAACGCGTTGCCAGTGGAGGTGGTAGAGGCGGGCACGATAGCATCATTTAAGATGTATCTAGACAGATACATGAGTGGGCAGGGAACAGAGGGATACAGATCCTTGGAAAATAGGCGACAGGTTTAGATAGAGGATCTGGATCAGCGCAGGCTTGGAGGGCCGAAGGGCCTGTTCCTGTGCTGTAATTTTCCTTGTTCTTTGACGTGTCACTGGACCTGAAACGTTAACACTGATTTCTCTTCACAGATGCTGCCAGACCTGCTGAGCTTTTCCAGCAACTTCTGTTTTTGTTCCTCATTATTTCCAAGTCTTCTTTAAACATATCAAATTTAAATACCAGTTGTATTAAGCAAGCCAATGCAATGAGGTGATTATAAATAACCAGCATAGATTTTTAAAAGGCATATCACAGTGAACTAACCTAAAGGCATTTTTTCATCAAGTAACAAAGTTGATAAAGGCAATACAATGGATATTGCTGGTGTGAATTTTAAGGAAGCATTTGAAAAAAATTCATATAAAAAGCTGCTTAGCAAAACAGGCTGAAGGAATTGAAGTCCAATGTCAACTGTGAACAAAGAAAACCAGTTGAGGACATAATACAGAGCATATTTCAGTTGTGTTCACCATGGATCAGTAAATTTCCTTTATAAATAACTTAGAATTACTGAGTATTGTTGCAAACAACTTAGAATATCAAGTAAACTTTCAAAATTTACTCAGGATCCCAAACACTGATGTATGGCAGATAGTCAGCATGATACAAACTGCTTGCCACAGGACAGACCGGCTAGCAGAATAAAAACAGAAGTTGTTGGAAAAGCTTAGCAGGTCTGGCAGCATGTGAAGAAAAAAAAAATCAGTTAACTTTTTGAAACTATTTTTTCTTCACAGATGCTGCCAGACCTGCTAAGCTTTTCCAACAACTTCTTTTTATTCCTAATTACAGCATCCGCAGTTCTTTTGCATTTTATTAGGCTGACAAGAGGCAGATGGAATTTCATACGCCATTTGTTTTTGTATGAAAGAGATCACATTTCTGTGGAAGGACTACAGAAATGCAATGCAGATTTGAAGGTGCAGTCTTAAACAAATGGCGAGGAATAGAGGAAGCTTGGGGGGTTTTGTGGAGGAGTGCAGGGTGAAGTTAGGGTGAGGTCATGTGTATTGAGATTTTGAATTCATCTTCAGGGCCCAATAATCTCTATTCCAAAGTTCTTAATGAAATGGTACTCTCGAAAGTGGAAGCAAGACTGGCCATCTTTCAAGATTCTGTATTGGTGGAGCAGTTCCTGTGGATTGGAGGGTAGCTAATGTAACCCCAGCATTTAAATACGTAGGGAGAGAGAAAATTATAGACTGGTTAGCCTGAGATCAGTAATGACGAAAGAGACAGAGCCCATAATAAGACAGTTAACAGCAGAGAACTGAGAAAACAGTGACAGGATTGGACAGAGTCAGCATTGATTTATGCAAGGGAAATCATGCTTGATAAATCTAATGAAACTGAGTGGATGTGTTAGTGGGATTGATAAGGGGAAATCCAGTAAAAATTAATTTAATTGGACCTTCAGAAGGCTTTCATTACGGTCCCACACAAGAGATTAGCAAAATTGAAGCACATGGGGTTGGGGGTAGTGTACTGATATAAATTGAGAACTCAGCAACAGACTGGAAACACAGTAGGAATACACAGATCTTCTTCCATGAAGCAGTCAATTACTAGTGGGGTCCCACGGGGATGGACCCCAGCTATTCACATTATGTGTTAATAATTTAGATGAAATGTAATATCTCCAAATTTGTAGACAACACAAAGCTGGGTGGGAAGGTGAACTGTGAAGAGGATACAGAGATGCTCTGGCTTGATTTGGACAAGTTAAATAAGTAAATGCAGGGTAGATAAAAGGTTACGTGGATAAATGTGTGGTTATTCACTTGGGTAGCAAAAACAGGAAGATGGATTATCCAAATGGTGATAGGTTGGGAAAGGGGCAGATTCAACAAGACCTGTGTGTCCGTGTACACTAGTCACTGAAAGTAAACATGTAGGTGCAGCGGGCAGTCAAGAAGGCAAGTGGTACATTCCTATACAGAGAGTATAGGATTTGAGTTCAGAAGCAGGGATGTCTTGCTGCAATTTCATAGCGTCTTGCTGAGACCACACCTGGAATACCAGGTGCAGTTTTGGTCTGCTTAACAAAGGATGGATGTTCAACTATGGACAAAGTGCAACCAAGGTTTCCCAGGATAATCCCTAGGATGGCAGGACTGACACGGGAGACTGGACCAATTAGAACTATATTGCCTGGAACACCGAACAATGAAGGGAATGGAAGATTTGTAAGATTTGCATATTAATCAATTGAAACCTGCACCTCCATTCTAACTGATTAAAGATTTAACAGCCATCTTAGGTTTGTTCAATACATTTGCATCAGTTCTATGACCCTTTGATCTTTTGCTTATAAATTCTGTGTCTGATGCTACTTCTCTAACATCCCAAGGAGGAGCGAGACTCCAAAAGCTTGTGTTTCAAATAAACCTGTTGGACTATAACCTGGTGTCGTGAGATTTCTGACCTCAAAGGTGAGGATATTGTGTTTATTTTGACTGCTTTCTCCACCTGTCCTGCCACATTCAATGATCTGAGCACATATTGATTCGTGTCTCTCTGCTACAGCACCCCATGTAAAATTGTAGTACTTATATTTTTCAGTGTTCTTTCTACTACAGTGCATCACATCACGCTTCTCTGCATTGAACCTCATTTGCCACCTAACTGTTCATTCCACCAACTTGTCAATGTTATTTCCACGTTGTTCTCCTCACACAACTTACAATTCTCCAAGATAGTGTCCTCTGCAAACTTTGAAACTGTCCTTGCAATTGTTCAAGATCCAGATCATGAATATGTATCAGGAAAAACAGTGCCCTGTGTGTTAATATATGCAGTTTCCAGTAAATGCAAGTGCCACACTGCAAACCTAACCAAGAATGCTAAATTGGCTGTTGACTTAATTCTTTGCGTACTCAAGGTTATCCAGTCAATGTTGTCCGATTTCAGAATCATACCTAATGTTGGATACAGACTTTTGCATACCTGGGCTGTTGGGTGTGGCTGGTACCTTGTTTGTAGCGAATCATTGTTGTGATTCATACAATCCATCAGTCTTCAGGACATACGCTTAGATATCTAGCATCACACCAGCACTCCAAATGTCTCTTATTTTTCTGCAATACCCAAATGCAATCTCCCCATATAACTAAAAATAAATATTTTATTCATACCTATTCAGTTTCATACTGTGTTTTCCATCTACTTTCTTTGGCAAATTCACCTTTACATAAGTACTTATGAATTATACCCAGCTCACATTCACTCTCAAATGTTGTTTATTTTCAACAAACATTTAATGTATTTCATTAGATGTCAAGTGTTCGGTCCTCACAGAATTGTTGAGTTATTTGCAACAAGAAAGGAAGCCAGTCAGCCTATCGAGTCTATGCATGCTCTCTTGTACAGCAGTCCAATCAATCGCATTCCTCAAATGGGAACAGGTTGCTCTCATTTATACATCAACATAACTAGGAGCAACAATAGGTGATATAACCCCTTGAGCCTGCTCCATTTAATAAATGTGATCATGGCAGATCTCATCTTGGCCTGAACTCCACTTGCCTGTCCATTGCCCATAACCTTTTAACCCACTGCTAATTAAAAACCTGTCCAATTCAAACTCAGTGTCTCGGCATCCAACACACTGCAGGCTAATGAATTCCACCGACTGAAGACTTTTGAGGTCTTATCCTCATTTGTTTTAAATCTGCTACCCCTTAGCGGCAAGCTATGACATCTTGTTTAAGATTGTCCCATGAGGAAACACGCTTGTTTACCTTATCCAAACCTGTCCTAATCTTGTATCTTTC